CAGCTTGAATTAACCCGGTGTGTGAAGAGTAGAGCAGATCCTTTGGCATTTTCATGCGTTATACCTTTTTAGCTATTTTTTCGTAATTGACAAGCATGAGCTTTCTTATCGGTGTGCTTGTCTAGACCAAATACATTTTGTAGTTGTGTAGAGCCAACTTAGGTATACCTTGTTAAGTGGTTTCTGGAGCCGCAGTTCTGTCGCCAATTCTCATGATTTAATTTATGCGCTTCTAACGCATCGGTTTGTGCATTGCTGAAGTAATACGCTGTTGATTGTTTGTTTGTCGCATATTCCAATTCTCTATTGTTGCTCAGTCGACGTAAGTTTCACAGATCCCTAAAAACGGCGTTCGTAAATATTCAACCAGACGGCTTCTTGATTGTAGAGAAATCATTGCGGTTTAGAGTGTTATCCTTCTGGTGCCATAGTCTGTCGAAGTACGACGCATTGTCATTTTTCATTTTGCTTTCCTCTGCATATTTTGTATTCACTGAACATAGAAGTAAACATTGACGAAGTTTGTCTAGTCTGTTTCACGGATGTTTTTGCAATTCGAGTCAATCCCGGACAGAATCTCCCAAAATGTGTTGCCTTTTTTCCAATTCACAGATGAAAGTGAGTAAACGCTCCCTTGAATGGTGATGATTCATGCCTGTCAAAAACGCTACTGTTTCCTTTACTCACTTCAAGTCCCTGTGCTCCTTTTTGGATCCATGGATGAATAAGTTTAAAGAAAAGCTTAGTCTTTCACTTATTTTTCTGGATTACGAATAGTCATAGTCTGGGTTTTTTAATGAACATCATTTACCCGTGAATCGATCCTACTAGAAACCCTTGATATCAGCGTAGTAGATAAATATTTATTGTCAGGATTAAACAATTTGTCAACATGTCTATTCGAAGTCTGCGAGAATTTAGAGATGCATCCGGCTTTTTAATCTTTTGCACTCAGCTTTATGGTAGAAACAAGGGCATAGATCTTAGTTCGAACACAGTCGTGGTAATTTCAATATGGTCATTTCAAACTATTGCAGGTAATTTTAAACATGTCCAGAGACTTTAAGTGCGCTTTAAAAGATCAAGGCATATAAAAGCTTGCTTCTTTGAACTCTCTTCAGATCCGTTTGACTCCTGTTAGTTCCTTCAGTCTTACCAGTGCTGCCTACACGATCATGAATACGAGTCCATTTGCGTTACCTGAAATTCTTCTCTTTCCACTTAGAGAGTTTGAACTGAAAGCTTGAAATACTAAATTTCATAACAAAACTCGATTCCAGCGAGTGGTCGCCGTTTGATTACTGAGTCGAATTAATGCCTTGAATTGGTGGGGTTTTCGTATTCGAAGAAGTGTAACAAGTAACTTCGGCAATGCTTCCCCTCGGTCGTTATTGCCTATGAGATCATACCGTTTCAGTCGATTGACATTTCTTACCATCCATACATGTCGGTAAGGTTTTGCTTTAGCTCCTCAGTCCTCTTGCTAGGTGCCACTTTTGGCTCATCTTTGTCTGTCTCGGTTCCAAACCTTAGTGTTATGATTAAGATCGCTGTCTCAGGCAAGATTTCTCCAAATTCATCGGCGTGAACCGCTTTCAGGTGTTGTACCGACGAACAGACCTTTTCTTCATACAATAGATACTCGACTTCTATAAATAGGCAGTTAATGACCAATCAACGATAAATTATAAGCCAGAGATTATTCTTGACCAATGATGGTGCACCGTTGAAATTGCTGGCTCTCAAACTTCCGCCATTTTAGGAGATCGAGTACTCCTACATCATATCTTGTAAAAAAGCAAGAATTTGGACTTGATGACCGTGAAACGTTATAACACGTGACATTAGCGTTACTGACTCATCCTTCAATGGGCGAATCAAAATTTCTATTTTACGTGGTATACTCATCACTTGCAGTTGCACATTGGTGTTTCTTGTAGATTAGGGGCTTTAAGGAGTCACAAACGCACTCCTTCCATTATACAGGGATGACACTTGTGGTCATGCCGCTTGGCATGTGACAGTTGCGTGCGCATTCGCTAAGGTTTCTATGCTGTGTGCGTGTGTGTTTGCTCACTTCTAGCACATGCAGTCATGATGATGATGATGGCGGCTTTTTGTGCTTGTTGTCTCATTTTAGCTTGCCATAGGTCCTTGATTCTGATCTCACTCATACCACGTGCTGTCATCACGCCGAACTCATTTAGTTTAGAATACCGTGAAGACAACAATCTGAGTATTTGTTAAATTCTCCTTTTGGCTGCTCTTGTACACATTTTTTCGTGATTATGGTACATTCTTCATACTTCCTCCTGAATCCACTAGCCGTGCAGTTTAGAAGTAGCTTCGTAGGGATCGTTAGGGGCAAATTTCGACCTAGCTTCACAAATAGAAAGAAACCAGCTCCGAGACGTTGAGACTGCAATAATTTCTATCTGGTATGTCTACATAGTGCTACATTTATGCAACCACCTTAAGGTTCAGTCGGCGCTCAAGATGCACTCTTTGTATGTCTGGACTAAGGTACGACTTCCTGAAGCGTTTTGCTACCGGCCTTACAGTGAAGCTATCAAATTGAAGGTAATGGTGACTAATCATACTCAACACTTGTATTGAGACTGATTTTTGTACGATCTCGAGACTGAAGTCATGCGTTATGCAAGTGTTCAGAGTCTGGCATTCCTCTTGCAGAATAAATATTTACGGAAAGGACATTTAAACTGTCAATGCTGGGATTATCTCGAATGTTAGCTCCATCCCAAGCATTTGTTACTGAGCCACTGAACATCCTTTCGCTATAATGTTTGAGGTCCTCTGGAGGCACGAGTGTTCACATTTTCATTTGCAAGCTACCTTGCTGTACGCTTCATGTCATTTTGATGAGCGGTTTTGCAACGACCACTCTGGTTGATAATAGGAGAACACATTTAAGGTATTTGACACTCACAGTCATAGTCACTTGGTTTTTTAGCCGTGACATTAAAAGTTCTAATTTTGTTTGGGTGCCTACCGTATAAGCTTAGAGTGAGAATATATCTGTGTCATCTGTGAAGCTGGATCAAAGGATGCCAACAGAACTGCGTAGTCAATTATGGGATTCGGACCACTAATTCTACTCATTTTCTCTCTCCTTTGTTCTCCATGGTAAATGTTAAAAGCCCTATTGACCATATCTTGTGGGTGCACGGTAGCAGTGCAAATGATTATGTGGAACTGAAATTGGGGTAGAATTGTTTGCGCAAAAGCTTAGAAACGAAGGCATTGGGCACTGGAACTGTTAACATTTGTATGTTCGTCGCGTTTATAGTTGAAATCTGGTAAAACCCTTCTGAAGAAACTGTTCCCTTGCTTGCCTCTGCAACCCCATTCTCATGGGAGAATTGAGTGCCTCCAGTTTCTGTTCTATCACCGAGTTACCTTCGCCTCATTTGACCCTGGTTGATTGCCTCCAAAATCTTATTTTTTCTAGTGTTTGTAGAGTTCTTAAGGTTTATGATAATTTACTGCAATTTCCCCTCCAAGGCACATTTCTTGTGAAATACGCACAATGCATAAACAGGCTATTCTCCACGACTGATTATCAGGCGTAGTAAATAAAAGCATTATTAAAGTATTTTCATCTTACCATTTGTCATGGGGATTTCACTTCTGTCCGAACATTGTTAACGATTGGAAGATGTAAAACGTTGCGGTTGCTTCGCTAGTTTGGTAAAACTCTCGTGGAAATTATTTTGCCAGTGTTAGTCTTATCGTTTTGACGGTGACATCTACCTGGTCTGCCTTGTCATTTGTCAAAATTTCACCTCTATCTAAAGGCTCGTATCTCAACCTTCCAATTTGCGTTTGCTACCGGCCTGTAACTTGTTATAGGATATGAATATCCTCCATTTTTTTCGCTCAACCACATTTTGTAGACGTTGATATTGTGTGGGTGTGTCTGCATAGATTTTATTGCCTACCTTATTATGTAGGAAGATGTTTTGTATTATCTGCTTTCGTGCTTGAATACGAATTCAGTCCAACCACATTTACTGCTCTCATACCCACCTTATTTTTGCAATGAATCCTTTTTTCCTGCGGTTTTCAGCTCTGACAAAAGATTGAAGACAAGCATTGGTAGGCATTTACAAAGCCAAATGTGCAGCAAACTCATAACTGAAATTAGCACTCATTTAAGTGAAACGAAAACGAGCTATCTTTTTACTGAAATTCAAGACGGATTGGACTTCAATTTGTGGTAAATATTTTCTACTAATTTATTAATAGCGTTTGGTACGCCCCACTTTAATGCGATCATATTATTGAAAGGCTTGTTATACAGCTATCCTCTTTCTCGAAAGTCAGATTCGGTATCAATTCGCTATGCAAAGCGGGGAAATTCAAATGTCATCCAAAGAAGTACAATACAATCCAGTTTCTTTTCAGAAAGCCCCATGTTACCATCCTCACTACCATGACAGTAAAACAGACATCGGACGCTTGGGCTTCGTTGATAACCATGCTGTTTTTCTGGCCCATTGTTGATGCTATATTCGAGGAATGAAAAATTCGGCTGATGATCCTAAACCATCTTCAGAGAGCCTAACTCAGAACCCATAACAGATATCTATCAAAAGTGGTGTGATTGTTGGAGCTGGTTCACTTTCAAAGCTCGGTACCTATTCCCTCCTTTTATCCAGCCACCTATATGCACTTCTAAACAAGCACTCGGATCCCACCAACTTGATCTCTTATTTAACGCTACGCATTTTTCTCTTCCCTTGCATACTTCTTCACATTTGTCACTATCTCAGAAGCTGCGTACTGTACTCCAACCGCAGCCATCGCCACACTTCAGCTGAAATTGCTCAACCAGATCGTCCACTAAACCTACATTGGAGACTAAATTGAACAAGGCAGGGGAGGGTTGGGGAAGAATAGAGTGGAGTTTGCTGAACATTGTTCTGCATAACGTGTGCGTCCACTGGCTTACGTGTTTTTGTATGTATACGTGGATATTCCTACAGTGTTTCAGTGAAGTAGCCTAGACGCCACTGTGTGGCTTCCACCGTCTCGTCATCGTTAACCTGTTTACTACGATCGCCACACTGCGTCGCATACAATTCAGCACGCATGCGCAGACACGTATAGACGCGTTTGCCTAGCCAAGACTCGCTTCGCTTCACCCTCCTGTCATTGGTCATCCAGGTTGGTCTTTTGCCTGCGACCTTGACGCGACCAACCCGCAGAGAGCGTTCTCCCTCCCTCACCCTTCCTCTCTCATACGCACGTTTACTGCTGTGCGGACAAGTGGGCTCGCGTCTCCACACAAATGGCACGCTTTTGGACAAAACAACAATGTAGCGTTTGAGGGCATGTTCGTAATGTAATGCTACATCGCTGCGCCTCTTGCGTCTTGCTGCGGCTACCGCGAGTACTACTGCTGTTGTCACCGTTACTGCCATGCGCTCGCCCGTGTGCCTTCGGTCTTTTGACCACAGCTTTCATTGTATGGGCGCCCGCTGTCGTTTGGTCTTTTTTGAACACATTCATTGACATTATTAGCTTAAATGTATCTGTCTAAATACGGTGTCCACATCAACTATTTCTCACTAACTAAAAGGTGTAATTGTTCTCGGAGCGTGAACACCTTACATCTGATTTGTCATTTTTTGCTTAGTTGGTCTTTCTATCACGAGAATTTGTGCAATATGGCACAGATTCGTGACTCTGGCCCCACGTAGAAGAAGCTCGGGGCGTCACACATTTGTGACACGGGTAGTAAATGCGCTAAGTAAACCACACCCGATTGATGGTAAATGAGGCTTCGGCACATTTTAGAATCCTCAAATTGGTTGATCAATCTTTTAATTCTCATATGACTTAGTGACATCATTACCAAATCAGACCGGATCATCTTCACGTTTACTAATGAAGGTCATGGTTGCTGTTCGTATTGAACGTGAGCTTGAATCTAGTCGGGCTCGAGTTTGGAAACTCCAGTCTAGTAATCAAATCTAGTTGCTAAGCCCTGCATACTCAGCTATTTCTTTAGATCATCTTCTGCTTGTTATATTGCCTGCGTATTTACTAGCAGTACTATCGCTTATATTGTAAGAAGTGACACCATACTTCTAATCTTGCTTTCGTCTTAATTTCTCAGAGATTGTTGGACGTTCATCTGCTTGAATTTGGAAGTCTCGTCTGTTAGCTCAGTGTCGCATAGTTCTTAGGTAATTTTAAGGCATATACTCGACCTCCGTAGCACCGCTCTGTGTACTGAAATGAAGCGGTAAAAATCATTTCACTGCTCTGGAGTCTCGTTAAATTCGTTCAATTCACATTTTGCCAAATCAAATTATTTTTTTGGGTTACTCGAATCGACCAAGAATATAATTTTCATGTATTTGATGAAGGAGTCTCTGTACTACTATATTACTCTATTTCCATATTGTAGGGAAGCGGCAAGAGAATGTCGTCGCAAGAAGAAGGAGTATGTACGTTGTTTGGAGCGTCAGGTAGCCATACTGCAAGACCAAAATCGTCAGTTGATCGAGGAATTGCAGAAGATGAAAGCGCTATGTGCAGGCGCCTTTCTGGATCCAGCTGTCCAACAGACCCAATTACAGAACCCCCCTGGGCTCTCCAATGACCGGAGACTTAGTGGTTCTGGTGCTGGTGACGAGGGAAGTGGGATGGATTTTGTGGACTCTGCCCCGTCCGCTTCCTCAGCTGCTCACCACCATCACCATCCCCACCGCAAACCACCACCTCGCTTGCCCTCACCCCAGCCTGTTGTCGCCACATCGGATACCAGTGGGGGCAACGCAAACAATTTTCACTCTTCCTCAGAAATGGATACCGACTCCTCTGCTTCTCGAACAGTATCCAGTGATCTTACTCTCCTCAAATCGCCTGTTTCGCAGACCCAACAACGACTGCTTCTGCTTCACGGTCTTTCAGCACTCAAGGAAGGCGGAGCTAGTGCTGCTGGCAGTAGTAGTAGTACCGGAGCAAGGAAGAGTGAAGAAAACGATTACTCTAGCGGTGCATGGATGTCTTCTCTTCCTGATCAGAAATCGAAGTTTCCCGAAGACGAGATGGATACTAGACTCCCCTCCTCCTCACCCCACATCCACCCTGTTAAGCGGGTTCTCAAGCGCTTTGGCAATGAGCAGCACCGGTTATCACAACTGCAAAAACAGCAACAGCAAAAAAGTGCGGGCAAACCAGATCCAGATAAGACCCAGTAGATGAGGCTGCTTTCTGCCATATTGTCCCCTTTCTTTCCCTTTTCTCTTTACACTCATACATACGTCACCTGTTTTCGATGTTGTCACTGCTGAGAATACGACTTCGCTCACGCTTAAACACGGCCATCATATCTCAGGTCCCTGCTTTAGCTAGCAGGACCGTCTCTGTTGTCGTCCATTTGCCCTTTGAATTGCCAGCCTTACCTCAGTTCTGCGTATTTGGGAGTGTGCACTTGATTGTTTCCCTCTACACCCCCTTACTCAGTGTCTTTCATTCTACCCTCTAAGAGAGCCACTTTGAGATCTGTCGTTCATGTTTATATCTGCGTACAGACGCAGAATGTTTCAGGGAGCATATGCACGCCCATGCGCATCTTTATCAAGACTTTTTCTCTCAAACGTGTACGTGAATCGTGTGTCCGGCCTTCTTCTTTCTCTTTTCGCTTATTAACGCGTCACAGATGGTGTTCTCGCAGACACAAACCAGCGGATGGACGGGTCCTCTATTTTTTACGCGCTTGTTTGTACACCTTTCACTGTGTAAGATTCTTCTCAAAGCAAGATTCGCCCCTCCTCCCTTTCTTCCCTCTTAGATTGCGCCTCTCTCGTGTGTTGCCCCCTCTTCTATCGCACCTTACAAGGCTGTTCGTCCTGTTCATTCACACACCGACGTCCATAAGCATCTATACATATATACATACTCAAACACATGCGCGTATCAACCATTTACTCCTCTGCGCCAATTTTATATCGTATACCTATACAGGCTACTGACATTATCGTGTGTATTGCCATCGCTCCTACTTTTAAGGTGCCATATAGTAAATTCTTTTTTAAATGCTTTTTTGGCTCTCTCTACCTCACTTTCATCTTCA